TTACCAAGTGTCACTTCTTGAGATTATTTATAGTGCATCATATTTGCTTGAGCCTAATTAAATCCTTTATGGCTGAAATGGCCAATACCTCCAAGTTCTGTGTGAATAAGTGTGACATGGAGGACCTTCTAAGAGGATCCTGATAAACTGACAAACGAAGGTTTGTTAGAAGGGAACAGTATTGGAATGCTGAAGAAATTCAGGAAAAAATGAAAGTGTACCAAAGAAGTATAGGAATGACCTCCAGGGAAACTCACAGTTGGGTTAACAGAAGCTTGTCTGGAGCTCAATATTCTCTTCTCACTGTTTCCAAATATGGCTTTCAATACTGACAGTTGTCATTAGTAGACAGAAACATTCATGCTGCAACAATAAATTAATTAATTATATGATGAAAAAGATAGACACCAAGAAAATCCTCAGTATTTCTGAAAGAGCACCATCCTATTAATTAGAGACACAGATGGTCTCAATACGTCCGGAAGTAAAAGCTGATCAGGAGATGCCAACTCCTTATGTGTTGTTCTAATGAATCCATCCATTACTGGATGGATGGGGCTAGTCAAAGTGTTATAGGAAGTTCTGATATGTGTTTAGGCACAGGTGAGTGTTAGTGTACATTTTAGTTGATAAATAAAAGGAATACTTTAAAGTCAATTTATTATGGTAGAAGGAAAATGTATGTTACAAAGTTATTGCCCTGAGGGCGCAGTGCTCCTGAACCAAGAACAGTGCACTCAGAGTTGCCCTGGCCTCAAATCCACCCCCACTAACTGACTAACTGGCCAATTTCAGTCCTGCCAGCTCCACATGTGGCATGTGCCTGCCATGACTGCCTGTAGATTGCCCTCCTGGTTCCACGTGCTGTAGTAATGTGAGGATTTGAGGTATTTTATCAGGGGTATCCACAGGGAATTCCACCAGTCTTGGGGCTAGTCTAGGCAGATATTGAAGTAATTCTTGTGGAATATTGTTAGTTTCTATGAGAATGAGTTGGTGCAAGAATAAGCCCAAACTCTGTTGGCTGTCTGAACCCTGTGTCACTGTGTCATCCTTCTGGTTCACACAGTTCTGCCATTGAGTTTCCATCAGGGTGAGGTTCGCTCCACAGCCAGCTAACACTGTGTCATACCTTAAATCTGCAGAAATATGAGAGGAATGCATGTCTTCTGGTTGTTCAGTTGCCTGGTGTCAAATGTTTGTCATAAGAACAACAGTTTACTGATATATGACCTATGCATGGACAATTTTAACTTTTTCTTATCATCATCATTGTTGTCATTAATAACAATGGCGTTTGAGGTCCGAGTTTTACACTTTCTAGACAAGCACTGCACTGCTTGAGTTATGCCCACCTACATTATTTTTCTTTTTTCCCCAGGCTTGTCTGCAATTGATCCTCTATTTTAGCAATACCAACCTCACCTCACTGACAGTCATGCACCAAAATGAACATCAATTTGGCATGGGGTCTTGTGAATGATGCCTGGGTGGCCTGCAACTGATATTTTTGTTCTCAGTCTCCAGAATAGCATGGGATTACAGGCATGTATCACCATGCCCAGCTATTGCTTTTTATGGGGTTTCCTGATCCCAGTAGCTAGAAATTACAGGTGTGATCCACCAGTGCTAATCTACATTTTACATATATAATATTTAATGTTTTTCTATGTTTAGATATTCTTGTACTTAACTTTACCATTTTACTACAATTTACTCTAGCATTCAGGTAAGTAACATGTTGTTCAGTTCTGTAGCAAAAAAGCAACCTGGTACACTGTAGCCTAGGTGCACAGTATGCTGTGATGTCTATGTTTCTGTTAATCTAAACCATGTGCTCACATAATGACAACAATAGCCTACGGCATTTGAGAGCTAACTCTTCCCTTAATAGCCATATAGTTGCAGCTGTGGCTTGCATCCCTGGAAGATGTGTGGGGAAGCCAGTCTGAGGAGCTCTTCCTGCCTCAGTTACCCTAAGAATCTTATGCAGTGCACAGATCACCTAGTTCTTGTCATGACTATCAAAATTTGGACATAGTTCACTAACACTGCATAGTTTGGTGGTGACTATCATGTCAGCTCCTGTGAGGGCTTTGCTACTTCTACCATTTGATTTATTAGGGTTTCAATTAACTCTAGAATTCTTTCTTTGTTGTTAGTCAACTATGATTTCTACTCACCCTCTGCTTGGAGAGAGGTTGAGCTTTAGGTTATAGTGATAAATTACAAACGATCACATCTTTTGTGAAAACGCACAAAGTCCTTATCCTCTCTGCAGCCTTGTAGATTCTTAGTGAAGGGTCAGAACATATAATAGCCTCTCTGATCATCTTAATTACTGGACATCTCCTCTTCAGCTACACTCTTTTCCTAGTGTTTCTTCTCAAAGGGAGGAGATGGGAAATGGCCCAGGAGGAGGAACTAGGCCATAGAGTAACACAGGACCACATCCAAGCATGTTTGTAATTCGGTGGTAATTGAACACAGGCTAACAGCAAACAAATAGAGTCCATTAAGAAAAATGACAAAGTTTAATAACATGTTTGTGAAATTTGAGATCGTATTTTCTAAACAAATCAGTAGGTAGGAATATGTGTGACATGAAGTCAATAATGAAGAAAATTTCATTGGTGAAGTGTGTGAGGCATTTCCTCAGTATGACAAGAACCTGACTACAGAGGCTCCAGTCTATGATAGGCAGACTATTGATCTCAGCTGTTGCTATGGGTAATAGACTAAGGGCAGTAAAATTTGATGGGGAAAGACCTGTCACATCATGGCCAGGTAACAAGATAGAGGGGAAGAGGCTAGTGCCTTACATCCCCTTTAAAAGCATACACCCAGTGACCCAAAATCTCAGAGACACCGTCTCTTACATTTTCACAATCCTATAATACCAGGTTAAGAAAAAATCCTCTGACACAGGGGTCCTTTGGCAGACAATTAAAATACAAATGTTGTTGTAGAGTAATGTTCATATGAAAACTTAAAGAAAATTTCTTAACCAAAGCCAACTGTGCTTAAAATCACTAAACCAGCACTGGATGAGTTAAGTTTTCATATATATAGTTAAATACATAGGCAATCTGAAGTGTCAAAAAATCAAATTTTAATAAGCCAGGAACTGGTTTCATATAGTTGGGAAGTCAAAGTAAGGAAGATCAAGTTTCCAGGCCAGCCTAGACAAGAAACTCTGTGTGACCACATCTCAGTGGAATAACTATGAGCCTTGTGGTGCAGATGTGTCATCAAAGCTACAGGGGGTGTGAAAAATAGGATGATCACTGTTCAGGCTAGGATGCAGAAAAGCACCACCCTTTCTCCAAAATAATCAGTTCAAAAAGACCATGAGGGAAATCTTAACTGGTACTGTGCCTGCATAGGAAGCAAAAAGCTCTGATTTCAAATGCAATAGGACCAAATTTATAGTTATAAGCTCTTTCACTTATTGGGACGATGTTATCTATGCTGACTTCATCTGTTATAGGTCATGCTGCACCTCAGTCTCCCTCACCTGCTTCAGAAACCCACAGGAATCAGAAAACTCAAAAGATAAACCTAGGATCAGATCACAGAGGATTACCTATCTCATTAGCTCATGGAATCAGCACAGACATCAAATATTGAGAAATGGGTCATCTGGCTGAATCCTGGTGTTGAAGTATAAAATTCCACTGGTAGTAAAGCACCTAATTAGCAGTGAACAACATTGATAATGACTTACATGACACTGGACACCTGTGCCACATTGGCTTAGTGCACAGAGGTGTGAATAATTTGGAAAAATGAATTGAAGGAAAATCAGGAGAAATGGAGATATAAGATGCTTGACTTTAACATGAGCTCTAGTCACTGGATACCACTGTGAGGTAGGGATCCATCGCCTATCCATCCCATTCACTGACCACTGCCTTCACACAAATTCCCATGGTCTTGGTCACGAGGTTGGGCCATTTGGACATCTTCTAACCTGAGGGGTGTGATCAGTGAGATGTGCCCTGTTGTCAGGAGCTTTCTTTGCCCCACATGAGGCAGGATGACCCTGCAGTGGAAGCTGTGTGACATGGAATGATATAAGTACATGATCATGGGCTCTGAAGGGTATGAGCCAGATCCCTGTAGAGTGCACGGAAGAATGGAGACATGACATGTGTCTTAGGGAATGAGGAGTTTGATGCTTTGATGGTGTCATTTTCAGTGAATCTCCTCCAGTGACTGGAGATGCAGGAACAATGCCGTGCTATGGGAGAGGAGATGGTGGAGTTTGGTTTTTTGGGAGCAGTATTCAGGACAGGAGAGAGTGTGCAGGAAGTAGGACTTCATCTATCTGTTTTCATTATCCACTTGGATTTTCCATGTTGAAGTGGAAGATCTTGTCTCTGCACACAAACCCCAGCGCTGCATTCAGAGGCCCATCCTGCACAGAGATTAGCATTGATGGGTGTGATTTTCATCTCTAAGCTTATCCTCCAGCATCATTTAATGGGAATCTTTGAACATGTGTTTTCAGGTTATAAGGAATCCTTTACTGAAAGCCTCAATACAGTAGAGGAATACCTGCCCATTGAAAGTCAGAGTGTGCCTGTTGATGATGAGGTTCAACAGCTCAGGGAACACAGAGCCTTGAGGATCAGAAATGGGGAGCTCCCACCATTGGTGCATGAGATAGGTATTCTCTTGCTGTGACGGGAAATGACAGAGGTAGGGACAATGTGTTTCTGGACTGCACTGATAACTACTCCCAATTCAATCATGAACAGAGAAAGTCACTTTCTCCTTAATGCCACAGAGAGGATGTGAGCGGAGAGATACTTCAAAAATGAGAGAAAAACAGAGATGTTGGAGAAGAAAGAAAGAAAACCAATAAGTCCAAAGGAAGACCATGCCCATTCCCTCTTGCACAGGTTTCAGGGCTGTGACCCAGGGCTGTGTGAGCTTTGATTTCCCCCTGCAGTCCAGGCGTCCTGTTTCCTTCAGGGAAGTTTTTGTCTGGGTTCTCACTGATTTTGCATCACTGTGTCTTTTGCACAGTAATATATGGCTGTGTCCTGTGTGGTCACAGAGCACAGCTGCAGGGAGAACTGCTTCTTGGTCATGTCTCTGGAGATGGTGATGTGGCTCTTGAGAGATGGGCTGTAGTTAGTGCCTCCACTATAACATATACGCCCCATCCACTCCAGGCTCTTCTCTGCAGGCTGACGGATCCAGTGCCAGCAGCAAGCACTGGTTGTGATGGAGAATCCAAAGACAGCACATGTGAGAGACAGGGTCTGCGAGGGTTTGACCAGACCAGATCCTGATTCTTGCAGCTGCACCTGGGAAAGGACATCTAAAGGTAAGGAGAAAAATTGTATTCAGTCAGCTGAAGTCATAACCTTGTCATGGACACACATGTGACACTGTGGACACGCGCCTTGGGGAGATGTCACCAGGCACAGCAGAAGACCCCACAGTCTCATCTTCTAGACCACAGCCCTGCCTTCACCAGTGACATAGGTTCTGTGTGAGGAGGGATCTGTGGCTTCAACTGATTGAGAGATGATTTAACCTAAACACTGAATAATATTTGCATATTAAGTGTCCCCTTCTCCTACATGGGGATGTTCTGAGTCCAGGGTTCCTTTGGTTCCCTTTTGCCCCTGAATTGTTGCCTCTCTTGAATTCAGAGATGCTTAATTTAGTGCTCTGTCTAATTCAGGCATTTGACAGTGGCCATGACAGCAGGTGTGCAAGGTCACAGATCCCTGACTCAAGTAGAAATCTGAGAATTGTATACCTCCTCCATTCTTCTGTGGACAGGATGGGGCTGGCCTCTCTGAGATCTGCAGAATGATTCCTATGACCGACAACTTCCCTGCCCATGATAAATTTCTCCATATCCTTAATGGTTTCTCCTGAGAGAAATTCTTAATATATCTTTTCCATATTAATCCATCTCTATGGAACATAGCCCAGACATGAAGATATGAAGTGTGAAGATAGTGGCTATACAGAAAATAGTCATTCTGTTTCTGATGACAAAGCACAGTGATCACCCATGTCTTAGCCTGGGAAGGAGTGAATTCCACCATCCTGATCCAATGGACAGGGGATGTGTTTCTCATAGAAGCTTCCTCCCATAGACTTGGATCTAAGAAAGGGTGTCTTCCCTTTCCGAATCTCAAATCCTAGTCCTGTCCTCGGCTTCTTGCTGAAGTCATGAGATGTGAGTAAGGACCAACAGAATTGATACACTTAAGGCCAGTGGAGGTGAAGATGTCCATGTCTTGTTCACCACTGTACTTGTGTCAGTTTGGGTGTTCTCTGAATTATTCTTGAATTATGTTAATGTTTCTCCATTTTATTACTGAGACTTTGTGAAATGTGAATTTAAGATCATGTCAAGATCCTGAGGAAGAAGTGCAGTACACAGGAAGTTAATGCAATCCCTATGGCCCAGAGTTGTGTTTTTGACAGAAGCATATACCAGAATCTTCAGATTGCACTTGACATGTTTGGTCGGGTTTGTGAATCAAGTTGTATTTATAAATATAAGCATGAGCTTAAGCATTTGTTGGTCCGCTGAGGGTGAGAATTTGAGCCTGGACCTGTGAACTGGCTTCCTAATTTGCTTTCTGTTTCCCCATATTTCCAGCTGTTCTACCCCTCTTTCATGGTTCCTGATGCTCTTCATCTCATTTGCTCTTCCTGGTTATCCTGACTCTTCTCATTCACAGTCAGAGAGATAAAGTTTTAACACTGCTATTTACCCTGCATCTAGTAAAACTGTTTTCAAAAACTGTATTGTAGTTTCCTTAAAAATTAAAAACAAACCTATCATAGGTTTTTATGATCCTACATATGGACAGATGTAATCATAAGGATATTTATAAACATTGTTTTGTGTATATAATGGACTGAATGAAATAAAATCACTTGCTTATTGAAGTATTATTCACAAACCACCTGGTGTCTGCAGTGGATATATAGACCAAAAATTGTGTAATTTGTAGACAATGAAAATTCATTTAGTCCAAAAAGACTGGCATCCTTCCATTTTGGTAATGTCTATGTAACTGAAGGACAAAATCATAGCTGTAGTAAGTCAAGTTGAAGAGGAGAAATACCAAATGATCTCACTCACGTGCAGAAGAAAATAATGGATCACATAGGAGTGAGAGAGAGAGAGAGCAGGACTGCTCATTGAAGACTGGGAAAGTTGCAGGAAGAGATAGAGCCAAGGGGAACATTTTCCAAATACTGTTGGAAGAAATAACTCAACTGTTCTGTAGCACAGTGGGTTCACTACAGTTCACAATAGTGTCTGGTACAATTCAAAATAACAGAGGAAGAACTCCGTGCAGGGTTTCAAAAAAAATAAATGATAAATATTTGTGACTATGGATACTGAATATTTCTAATTTTATCATTTTACCTTGGGTGCATGAACCAAATATTGTCATATTATTTTCTCAAACATGACTTAAGGTTTGGTGGAAATGAGGGCTTTTCTTACAGTTAGATTTGTAACTGTCACCAAAGCCACTGATATCTCCTATCTGGTTAATATTATGTGTGGATTCAAAAGATTAATTAATGACACTGGGGGTATAGCTTAGTGTCAGAGCATATGAATATATGCATAAGACCCTGAGGTAAAACTCCAGAATAAAAGTTTAAAAATAGATCAATAAATCAATGAATGAATAGCATTGTTATATAGGGCTTGTCCAGTAAGATCTATGCATTGTGTTCAAAATTTCAGTGCTACACAAAATTTTAAAAAATAAAGTGAATTATTTAATGAATTTGTTTAAATTGTTAACTTCTTTATATGTTAGAGGCAGATTCAGACATTTTAATTAATAGTGATAACCTTATCATAATTATATTTAAATTATAATATGCTATAACTGAGTACTAATTATTCAGGCAATGGAAAATACTTTCAAAATTCAAATGTGAGCAATCTTATTTCTTTAAACCAGAGAAGTGCCTTATAATCACGAAAGCATCTTTTCTATAGAGTATATAAGCAACCAAAACAAAGACATCATGAAGAGAAGAGATCCTGTCTGCCTTATATTCCTCCTTTTCTCTCTCTTCTCCTTTATCAAGTTGCACACTGTTCATTCTGGACCTTCTGGTCTGAACAAATCTCAGGGCCAATATGGGACATCATAGTAACCTGCACGTTTAATTAAGAGATTCTGGCATAAAAAATGAGAAACAGATGTGTCCAAACATATCATGGGAGTCACTCAACAAAGGAAAGGTCTATATCAGTCTCAGTTTACATAAGAATCTCTCATGATTGAATGATAGATTTTAGTGGAAGATGTCCTATTAAGGCACACTTGATTTATATGCAACATTTTTAAGACATAAAACTTTCTATTTCTTGATAATAATGTGATGAAGGGAAAAATAAAAAATTGTTTTTTCCTTTACCAAGTGAACAGAGAATGAGAAGCAAGAGTCATGGAGTGTTGGGAGACAGGATCCGGGGCTTTGGGACAGAGTGTCATCCTTCATGTAGCAGGATTCTGTTAAAGGGTGACAATCACCATGGGGGGCTGTGGGAAACCCTCAGGTCCCCCAAGGACTCTTGGAAAAGAGCAGAGTCACTGTAGCTTTTGTGCAACAGGACTAAGAGAGATTGCAACAGCCCAAGAGATAATGTTGAACTCCCCTTTTCTCTCTCTATGTGGGACCAGGAAGACCCAGTCCCAAGAACATGATGTTTTGCTCTTGGACTCGTAGACATAGCAACGTGACAACCAATCTTAGTACAGAGGTCAAGGGAGACCTGGGAACTGCCACGTACTCCTTACCTCTTGTCTGCACTGCTTAAATACACTCTTCAGATAATAAACTATGACATTGCTGCCTGGCACAACCTGAGATCCTGTTGTTATTCGCTGCTCAAGCACCCAAGGACAGAATCAAAGGCCCCACTGCTGCTGGACTGCAGTAGGTGGCTACATGGACACAGCACATGTAGACCTAGAAACTCTCTTCAGAGTTCACAACACAATGGGGTGTCCCATCTGCATGTCTCTTGAAAGGCACAGAGGATGAAGGTGACTCCATGACAAACAAACCAGAGAAAGTTCAGCTGGCATGTTGTCAGGCAAGTCTTACACCACACTCTTTGGGTTCAATTTTTTCCCCAGAAGATGCATTGTGCAGAACACAGAGGAAGGGTCCTGATCTATGGAGAAGGAGAAGTCCTTTCTGCCTTTCCCAGGGGAATATAGGAGCCACAGGCTGAGTCACAATGAGTGACACGTAAGTGCTGAGCCATAGGAATTAAACTACAAGGGTGAAAAGTAAAATTTTGTGGTTGTAAAATGAAAAATGGGAGATGGAAGAATGATAGTCTGTGAGTAAGAACAAAAATTAGCTAATTCAGTTGGATGAGTTCTGAGTCTGATGAGCACAGTTCTATAGGAGAAGGAGGGAAAGATTTGAGACCTGTTAGGTTTTAAGGGTCAGTGATCTGACCCTGTTCTGAACTTGATCTTGTTAACTAAATGAACCCAAAATTCTGTCCTAATCAGGGAACCCAGTTCATGCCCTTATAGTGATGTCCTAAAATGAAAACCCCCAGCTGGATTCCAAATTCTCAAATCACGGTAAACAGGGGGTTTCACCCAGTCAAACCCAGCCATACCCCTGTGACTCCAAGAATGGATTCTGTACCCCTAAAATGCTCCCTGGCCCAGGTGGAATCATGTGCTAAATAATGGAGCTGAAAATGGTACCAAGTGCACCATGCCCAGGCAGCCCAGCCTGATGAGCAATCAAGTTGCTACTGTGGGCAGGATTTCAGCAAGGACTGATGGAACCCCAAGAGAACATCATGATTTTCACACAGCTGTGGCCCCCGGCATCTTGGCTGATGTGGGTATGGGTAGGTTCAGCCAAGGACCTGGCAACTCAGGAAATGTGATGATTTATGCTGCTAAGATTGGGCATATTGATCCTGTTCAAGATTTGTTTCCAGGTTCTGAGAGCTGCAGTGAGGGAACTCTAAGAAGACTGACAGTTGGCCATATAGTAGGAGAACAAAGACCCCCAAGGGCTGCTTTGGAGGAGGGGAGGGCTCAAGAATGTGTGGATTTACCTGAAAACAAACTATTCAATTAATCAACAGGCATTTTTTTAGAATTCTTTTCTGGTTTTGTTCTTTGATTTGTTCTTTATTTTTTGTGTATTGTACCATACTGTAAAATTTTAGCAGACTTTAGTCTTCAGGACAACAGTAGACCAGGAATTCTGGACTGTTAACATTAGGTACAGAATCTGACTTCAGACACTTTTACTATTTTCTTTCAACTCCAGTGTAGAGAAAAACCAAGCTATGACCTCAGAGCAGAGTATTAATGAAAAGCAGAAGAAAGGAACTAAGTTTGGTGGGAAGGAGAATTGTTTTTTTTTAAATAATGAAGCTTAGGTAACTTGTTTTTCAGTCCATGTGCTCTTTGGCACAGATTGTCTATTCCAGTGTACAAACAAATCACCATGCTTTTCTCCTTTCCTCCCTACTCTTCCAGTCCCTTGGTTAAGTGTGTTTCTCCTTCAGGCCTGTGCTAGTGGCTGTCCTCTCCTCTTCACTTTGGCAGTGGTGATACCCAATTATCTTCCAGGAAAATAACTCTACTGAAGCCTTCCATGGGAGCATCTTCCTGACACCAGCAGGGATGGCTCTGTCCTGGGGATATTTTCTGGAATTATCACCCCCCTCACCTTTCTTTATCCTAGTGAAGACTTTGTGGCCCATCATGCTTTCTCTACTCCTTCTCTTAGGAATTCTATAGTGAATTTTATTAACGGGGGACTGGAACAGATGCTAAAATCTATACAAGATATATTTTTGTTTCAAATGTTGTGATTCTTCCATTTCCTTTCTCTGTCATGCACAAGAAGTTGTTTCTAACCTTCATTAAATTTTGTACAAAACCACTTGCCAGAGTTGTGGTGTCACAAAAATCAAATATATTGTTTCTTATAAAAAATAGAAAGCATGTCCTATGATGGTGGAAAGTCACATTTTCATAAGTCTATCTCTGATGTAAATGCTGGAGCATACCTTTCAGTTCCCCAGGATCACTCTGCATCAATTAAAATGAGAGCATGGTAAGATGTGTGGAAATCTTCACAGATTGGAGACACAGTAGCACCAAGTCTTTCCACAAGCCTCACACGTACAGCGAATGTGCTGAGCAGGCCCTGGCAATTCATAGTCCCTTCAGATCCTGCCCACTATGCTATCAGTGGA